ACACTATTTTACAGTAATTGATAATCTAAAAGCTCCCACTTAAAATTTTAAAATATGATTTAGAATGCAAATATATGCCAAAGGATGCAGGAGCATCTCTTAGGAACAACAGAGCTCAGTCCTCTTTGAGGCCATACCTTTTTTTATTAATCTAAGTTTTGACTGTCAGAATCTTGAAATCACGATTAATTTGGACTAAATGTCTCTGGCTGCCCCCGATTATTTTTGCTAGTGGAAGCAATATGCACTGAACACATAAAGGTTACTTAATGGACTGATTTCTCACTTACCAAGAATATGTAATGGCTTTTAAAAATTGTATTGTTGGAAATTAAAAAGCATGTGCAGCAGGTCCTCACATAAAATCATTTCATCCAATGTCGTTTTATTATAAAGTTGATGAGAAAACAACTGGTTCTGTAGCACAGCCACTGCCTGTGTGGAGTTGCCACGTTATCTCCATATTTGCCTGGGTTTTAGCCAGGTACTCTGGTTTTCTCCCACTTTCTTAAAATGTGTATGTTATGTTAATTAGTATGTGTCAATGGTCCCCGTCTGAGTGTGTGTGAGAGTGTGCGTGTGCATAAGTGTGCCCTGTGGTGGCATGACATCCTATCCAGGCTGGTCTCTACCTTGTCCCTGGAGCTGCCGGAATAGATTCCAGCCACCTAGAACCCCGAACTTGAGTAAGAGAGTTGGAAAACAAATGAATGGACACAAATTATTGTAAAATGAAAATCTGTCAAGTATACAATAATCATATCAGTGCAGGACAAGAGATGAGATAGGGAAGTGCTCAGCAAGTCCGCCACACTTATTGTTTGTTTGTAAACTGCATGGTGGTAAGAGGTGCTCCTAAAAATTTTTGCTTTGCAAACATTTATTCCTTGATTTAACCTACTACCACTAAAATCACCGTCATTTACTGATTCACCAAATATTGAGTAAATAATTATCGTCACATTACGTTTTTATTAATCTATCTTAAATGTACATGTGACTCACATTTATTTCAATGTTCAACATCAAAAGGGATTTGGGTCATTAGTGTGAAAGTTAAGCATATAAGCTGAGTCATTCTTGTCATGCCTAACTAAAACAGAGTCAAGAAACCAGAGGGAAGAAAGCACTCAGGACATATAACATTGCCCCAAGAATGTAATTCTCTGCAAGCTTGGCTGCTGAAACTGCCTGCTATAACTTGAAACCAGTTTCGTCTAGTATCTATGGAAACAACCTGTTAGAACTCTAAGACTAGTTTTATCCACTGCCTTCACTCACCAATCAGAACTTGCCAGCTCCCCACATTTTACTAGTGCCAATTGAACTTTCTTTCAAAACGATACAGAATATTTCTCCTTTCTGTAAAACCTCTAACCTTCTCTTTGTTCTTCGGACATACGAAAGACCCACATTGCTATTCTTGCTTCCCTGACAAAATGTTAAGCTTAAAGATGCATCTCTAAATTTGTATTTTGATTTCTACATTAGTTAGAAGTTTGGTGATATTTTTGTGATCAGAAATATGCCATAGGAATGTAACTCTTATTATATCAATTATCTCACAGTAAAATTGGTTTCATTATATGTTGTTTTGCTTAACATCATGGTTTCCAAGAATATATCAGTAACATTAAGTGAGGACTCATTGTATCTGTAGGCTTAACAACTTTTCTATTGAAGTCAGGCTTTTGGTATATATGAGATATTTCTGATGATTAGCTAATTCACAAAACTGGAAATTGCCATAACTGCATTATAAATGTAAGTGATAGCCTGCATGGCTTTCTTACTTTCATACGTTAAGTTTATGATAGATCTATAATCTTACAAAGTGTTGGTGGCCTTAAATTCCTTGTTTTGTAACACAGGAACAGAAAACCAAACACTGCATGTTCTCACTCATAAGTGGGAGTTGAACAATGAGGACACATGGACACAGGGAGGAGAGCATCACACACCAGGCCCTGTTGGGGGATGGGGAGCAAGGGGAGGGACAGCATTAGGACAAACACCTAATGAATGCGGGGCTTAAAACCTAGATAACAGGTTGATAGGTGCAGCAAACCATAGCATATATATATTTATGTAACAAACCTGCGTGTTTTGCACATGTATCCTAGAACTTAAAGTAAAATAAAAAATAAATAAATAAAATAAATTCCTTGTTTTGACGTTGCATTTGTCTAAAAACCAAATCCTTTGGAATCGACAGACCAAGAGTTTTCTCCATCCCCATGTACTTAGATTTCTCTTATCATTACAGAAAATGTGGAGGAGTTTGGCAATTGGTTAATATTCCAAGAAAAAAAGAATAAAAACTGTAAGTTAATTTATAATTACTAATACAACATTTTTAAATGAAGAAAATAAGGAGACGAAAAGGATAACAGATGAAGTTTCTCACTAGCATCCTGAGAATATAATAAATTGGTTTCAAAATATCAATTTGATAATAAACCAAATTACTCTTATCTCTCCATGTATGAATTAATTAACATGTTGACATATCACTTCTATTAAGTAGTATCGAGTAAAACCTCTTTGGATACCCAGTAATCATTTCTTCAAATAGTGTCAGTTCAGTAAAGGTAAATTATTTTTCTGACATAGGAATGAATGCCAATATATAAACATAATAAGATTAAAAGATATAGTGACTTCCTAGTTTTCTACAAGTTTATAAAGCCATTGCTCTAATCACATTTCATTCCTCAAATTACTACAAGTGTCTGCCACAATAAAATGTTAGACATATATTCCTGTTATATCTGAAAAAATTTTTGATTGAAAAACAACATTTATTTGGGGTCATCTTTGATAAGTGGACTGTCTTTTTAAATGTATACAATTTCCCTCATAGTTACAAGTTTAGACACCAGAACCACTTTGCAAAAGACTTAAAATATTTGCTTAATGCTTGCTTTAGAGCATGTACTTTAAATATGGATGTCAAGCATTGAACCAAAAGTAGTTTTTTACTTTTTAGTTTATAAATAAAAGGAAAAATGAGGTTATTTTGAAGATTATTAAAGTACTACTGATAAACTATTTTTACTATTTTTTACATTCATAAAACCAAGAGGTTTTGAGCTAAAACATTTCCTTCTCTCTCACATATACACACCCGAGTGCACACCTAACTCTTCACATACACCAACATTCACATGTAGCTTTATTAAAGTCATATGTTGAACTCTCTCCTCTCACCCTACACATCAGCACTAATTTACATAAGTAATGAGACAGTGAACGAATATAGAAATAGGATAGCATTAAAGCAATAGTCTTGTCACTCAAAGTATGCTTCAAGATCTAGCAGCATCAAGCATCACCTGGGAAGTTGTAGAAAGGCAAAATCCCAGATCACCCTCTAGTAAGAACCCCCAGGTGATTCATACGTACGTTAAGTGTTAGAAACATTGTTCCAGACTGGTGGCTCTCAAAGTGTGGTCAACATCACCTAAGAAACTAGGTGAAACTAGAAATGCAAATTTTTAGACCCCACCCCAGCACTACACATCAGAAACTCTGGGGGTTGAGGCCAGCAATCCGTGTCTTACCCAGGTCTCCGCGTTGGTAAAGAGTGGCAGCTGGTCCCATCATCATGACCACATGCCCAACCATGAGGGCAGCGGCATTGACAGCTGCTGGGCACCAGGAAATACAACCTCAGAAGAACTTTTACAAATCTAGCAGAATTTGTATCTGCTTAGCTTTCTAAACTCACCTCTGCCACTCTCCCAATAGCTCACTAAGCTCCAGCCACAAAGCTATTTTCTGCCTTAGGAACCCCACATTAACTGTTTCCTCTCCCTAGAAGGTTCTCATCCTTCTCTTTACCTGGATAGCCCCTTCATACCCTTTAGGGCCCATAAGAAATGTCATCTCCCTAGAAAAGCCTTCTCTGAGCCATCCTAAATTTGTTCTTTCTTTTTTTCTGTCTGAACCTTGTTTTCCTCATAGAGTAAATCATCATTCATAGTTATGGCATTTGTTAATTTACTTGTTTACTATCTTTCTTTCCCATCAGCCATTAACCTCCATGGTGTAGGGCCCACCTCTATCTGGACCACCCCATTTCCCCTAGTGCCTAACACAGTATCTGGTGTATAGTAGACTTTAATGAACATGTGCTGTGCCAGGCATGGTGGCTTATGCCTGTAATCCCAACACTTTGGGAGGCTGATGTCGGAACATCATTAGAGGACAGGAGTTTGAGAGAAGCCTGGGCAACATAGCAAGACTTCATCTCTACAAAAAAAAAAAAAATTAATTAAAAAAGAAAACAAAAAAATGAATGTTTGCTGAGTAAATGGCTAAATAAGAGAGATGATGAAAAGAACACCAGACTCAGGTAGATGTAAATGTTGCTGAGTAAATCGCTAAATAAGAGAGATGATGAAAAGAACACCAGACTCAGGTAGATGGGGACTTACCATTGTTAATGGAGGTGGTACAAAGACTTATTCTTTCTACAATCGTATTGGGTGAAAGAAATGGTCTTTGCCACACTGAATTAAGAAAATAAGTAAACATAAGTTGACCGTAATGTTCAATACTTTTCTACATTAGAAGTTCTTTAAATACTAGAAGTTTTTTCTCTAGAGCATTTAATATTTTGTCATTTTTAAAATGTTATATAAATAAAAGAACTTCCACCTGAAAAGCAATGAAGCCAAAACGTTACATTACAATGTTTAATTCCCTTTTGAATGTGTGTTGAATTTAATACAAATCAATAAAGCACTTTTCTAGGCCAAAAGGAACCAATGTTACATTTAGAAGGCAATTGACTGCATAAAAATATAATCTACACTATATTTTTTAAAAGAAATTCAAAATCTGATTCTATGGTTAATGTGGTATACTAATGTCTTCTTTACAGAGCAAGACACCACAATAAAGTAATGGCACAATAAAGGAAGTTTTGTTGTTTTTTACTCTTGGTATTATCTTCATATCCCAGTAAAAAATAAACTCTTTAATAAATAAATATATATAATAAATATTTTCAAATTGAAAATGTATAAATAGGTCCATTGTTTTAAAAAATGTTCTGTCTTGGTGTGGCATGTTTCATAGTTCATGTTTCACCCAGGTGTTGTTTAGTTTTTTGGTTTTTTTTTTAACATATAATGCTATAACCTGTGAATTCTACAAGGTCCTCAGAGTTTATGTAGCAATGATCTTGGTTAAGTCAATCCATTTCTTCAACATGAATCCTCTAGTTTTAACATAAATTTTAAAGTAAACATAATCCAGAGAGGTGAGGCACCAGCAGCAACCATGTGAGGGTTCCCGTTATCCACAATTTAAGAGATTTTTGGAGTCAGTCTACTGGTAAGGACTAATCCAACGTATCTAAGGGAACTTAATTCACATATAAAGAGTGATCATGATCTATTTCTGGTCAAGACTTTTTTTTTGTTTTTTTTCTCAATATTCTTTCCAAATCCAGTCTCCCAGTAGAAAATAGACTTTAACATTCTGAATGTCTTCCTGGGTCATTATTTTATGATGGGAACTATGATAAGAAAGAATGGTTGTGGTTTGACTCCTCCATAATGTCACGATCACACTTCAACTATACATCAGTAGGTCCTTGTACAATTCTGGAACTCTTTCTGGATCCACTGGTCTAGGTAAGAAATGTGTAAACTTCTGATGTCTTTTGGACCTGGCGCCATCTCTTGGAGTCCCGTCTTTGTTAAGTGCCACAAAATACCTGCGGCCAGTGTCTCCATGTTTATATATATTAGAAGAATAGGTGTTATACCAGTTCTCTTCAAATTGCTCCCTAAAGATGCATTCAGAAGTAAGTTTCTCCTGAAAGAGAGAAGATAACTATTATTTTTTTTAAAATACCTTTGAGATAATTGTCTCACAAGTTTCAACTCTTTATTTTCATTTCTTTGCCTTGTCAAAGAAAGAAAAAGGTTAAATTGGTTTTGCTTTATTTTGTTTTAGTTAATATGTCATCTCTGATTCTTAGTGCAAGTGACTTGATCTGGCAGTGTACTTTAAAGCAGCAGTCCCCAACTCTTTGGCACCAGTGACCAGTTTCATGGAAGACAATTTTTCCACGGACCAGGACGGGGAGAGGAGATGGTTTCAGGGTGATTCAAGTGCATTACATTTATCGTGCACTTCATTCCTATTATTATTATATCGTAATATACAATGAAATAATTATATGTAATATATAATGAAATAACTCATCATAATATAGAATCAGTGGGAGCTCTGAGCTTGTTTTCCTGCAACTAGACTGTCCCATCTGGGGGTAATGGGACACAGTGACAGATCATCAGGCATTAGATTCTCATAAGAAGCATGCAACCTAGATCCCGCGCATGCACAGTTCACAAAAGGGCTCATGCTCCTTTGAAAATTGAATGCCACCACTGATCTGGCAGGAGGCAGAGCTTACGTGGTAATATGAACAATGGAGAGCGGCTGTAAAATCAGATGAAGCTTTGCTCACTTGCCTGCCGCTCACCTCCTGTGTGCAGCCCAGTTTCTAACAGGCCACAGACCAGTACCAGTCCATGGCCCAGGGGTTGGGGACCCCTCCTTTAAAGAACTTAAAGTCAAATGTCAATTCCCAATTTTATTTTCAAATACCTAATAAATACCCTGAATTTTCTCATGTCCCATATTATCACCCTACTACTCCCATCACTACCAAGCAGACCTGTAGTTTATCTTTTTCCATCGTTAGATGCCACAGTCCTATCTATCGAGCCTCTACTCTCAGCTTGGAACATTTCAAGATCTTGCTAAGAACCAAATTCCAAATTCATGATCATCACTCCAAATCATATATCTTCTCTTTATGAATTTACTAATTGTTTGATGATACAGTCTCCATGATTAATTTATATCTGGATCTCTTACGATTAAGATAAAAGCCCAATGATTTATTGTCTTTTCAAAATGGACTATATATTGTCCTAAGGGATAAACCACAGTTGCTTTTTTTAAAATCCAACATATACATGAAGACTGTGTGCATGTTTTTTTTCTGTTGTACTTCTATTAATTTTATTGTAATTCTACACTTATGATTATTACACATTGCATTGTTTTTCTTTGTTCTGAGCTGACAGGAAGCCTAGAAATAACAAGTTTTACCCTTACGAAGGACAAATATTCATCTACTTCTGTATCATCACCTATTCTTCTCAGTGTATATTAAGATGCTATCTGAATATTGTGGTTCTAGTTGAGATTTTAATAAAAAAACGTTATCACATAGTGCCATCTGCTTAATCATACAAAGTCAATTCTTGATGGAAATAATTATAGAGACTTGAACCTCAAGAAGAGAGTTCACGTAAGAAGAGGAGTGGGATACTGGCATACATTTTTATCTTACCAATTCTTGTAAAAGCATATGAGCAACTGTGAACAAATGAAAAATGTTAACAATGAAAGAGAAAAATCCATATTGTGCTGTAAGGTAGAGTGTGATATCGTCCTGCTCTTTTAATTCTTGTGTTGCTACTGCAGCTTTGCTCTAAAAAAAAAAAAAAAAAAAAAAAAGAAAAGCAAAAACAACAAAAAACTTATACTGATGAAATATTAACCTGAGAAGTATACCTTATGTGGCATATTTAAACATATGTAGTAGACCCACAGATGTGCACTTATCCCTAGGAGCAACTTAAAAATTGCCCAATACAACTTTGAGTGAGCCCATGGCTACTATAATTTTCAAGACTACAGGCATAAAAGAACAGTGTGTTTGCCATCTTCTCTTGTTACTTGCAGTATCCCACAACTTTATTCACTTATCTCTTACATAAAAAGGTCAGCAAGTGAGTGATGTATATTTAGCTGTGGAAGATGATAACAGGTAAACAAAGTTTACCTTAAATAAACATAAAGGTGAGAGAGTTTAACATGGCAAGAAAAAAATATTCTCCCATTTATCTCTGTCTCTGGAGGGAATTATTAAAATACAGAGAAAACTAGAAAGACTCAAGGTAATGAATAGGAAGAACTAGTGAGCTGAAGGCAATAATGGTTCAGGGTTTTTAAAATATAACTGAATTACTATACTATTGCCCAGACACATGGAAATTTAGCAGGATATAGAATTCAATGTCTACGTAACTATGTTTTATACACTTCTAACAGACATTATTGGTAGACATTTTAATTGCATAATAGTCATTATTTTAAGAACTACAATAATAATAAAAAATACACATAATACGTACTGATCCATAGAGCTCTCCTTTGTCATTCATTCCAAGATAGAGACCACTGTCCACACCTCTAATACTGACCAGTCCCACTGCCACACTGATGAATTCCAAGATACCTGCATATGTAAACAAATTCATAAAAACATCATGTTTTGTATTTATGAATGAACATATGACTAACAAAAATCTTCCGAATAGTAGCGGTAGTTGGCCATTATTGCCAAATATAATGATGTATGTGTAAAAGTCCTTTGTAAATTGAAAACAGCTATGCAATTGTTTTATGACAGATGAAAAAAAGACAAAAAAGGAAAAAATTGTTCATCATGGTGAGACAACCAAGTATAAAGGGGTTCCTGGAGAAACTCTGACCGGCCTGTGTGCCGGGATAACACGATGGCGCCTCGGGAAATTGACGCCCTTTGCAGCGGGGAGGAGCCTGGCCTCTACTGTAATGGGGCGGTAACCTGGGATTCAATCTGTGAGATGGGGGCCTGTTAACAGGAACCTCTCTTTGCTTTGTTTTTTTTCTTTTTGCTCAATAAATTCAATTTTTCTCACCCTTCTATGTGTCCATGAGCCTAATCTTTCCTGGTCATGTGACAAGGACCTTTGCTTTTAACTGAACTAAGGAGAAAGTCCTACAACAATGGTATAATGTGAAGGGTGTCAAACCTTACACCATACTGAGCTGGGTTTGAATTCCAGTTCAGGAACTTACTAACTAGGTTGAGTAGGCGAGTCATTTGTCTTCTTTGAACTTTAACCTCTCATATGCAAAATGGAGGAAATACCTCCCTAAAGGAGATGGGTGAGGACTGACACATTTAGGCATTCAACAAATGGAAGCCATTATTATCCTAAATTAGTACATAATAGAGGTGTTCTCAGTTTTCCATGATCCCATCAGTTAATTATAACCATTTTCTATTCATTGTTTTGTTTTTATTTACAATAAATCAAGTCAATCTGTTTCGAGGAGCAGCAGCATCCCTTATTGGGTATAACAGTGTTTTACAGTTAATAAAGGGCATCTGTTGGTATTTTCTCACCAGGCCCTAAAAAACAAGCCCTTAAAATAAATAGGGAAGATGTTATTATCCCCATTTTGCATATAAAGAAACTGAAGATCAGAAAGGTTACTTGATTTGCCTAAGGGACATGATATTTATAATTGGTACAACTGATATTTAAACTTACATTCTTAGCCCTAATCCACTGTTTCTACTTCAGGACACTGTTTCTTGAGGAAAATACAATAGTTTCAAGACTTTACAGATTATATAATATGCTATGTTTCCTGCTATGTAATTTTAAAAATTAAATTGTATAGTTCAGAGAAGAAAAAGGACTTCATAATTCATTAACTATGATAGCAAAATATAATAAATTTAGCATGCAAGTAGATTTTCTATCAATAACTTTCCAGAATTATTTCCATTTATCAGTAAACTAGGATCAAAAACTCTTCCCTAAATACACCGATACACTATAGTTTAAAAAAGTAAAACTTAACGCCTCCCTCTGAATCACCCTTTTTTTTCTACACACACTAAACTTTGGACTAATGCTTTTGTCTCATTCTTCCCTCTTTGACTCTGCTGAAAAAGCATAGCTGTATTTTCTATGCTTGGAACTGCCTTCCTCAATAGCATTCTACCTTCACCCCTTCACCCCATCCTGAGCTCTACAAACAGTATAAATGTGTACCATTTAGCCTGACTCTTGCTCTTAAGTCATTTCTTGATTTATTGTACAAGTTCCTGTTTGGACACGTGATACTCCCAAGGCCAAGGGAAAGTACAGAATCTAACTATTCGCTGATATGCAGGGCTCTATTCTATCCAAAGCCTCATTCACTCTTTGTCAGAAACAGAGATTCTTAGCGAGACAAATGAGCTCTTTCAAACTATTAGGAGATCATGTAGAACACTAGAGCTATCAAGGATCTTACAGCAACAATACACTGCTAAATAGTCTATAAGTGGCTTGAAAGAGCCAGGATCCCTCATTGAAAGCCTAAGGCAGAGAGAAGATAAGATATAGCAAGAAGGCTGAGACTCCATAGGACAGCCATCATAATGACAAATACAGAGGTGGGGAGTGAAGGAAAATCAAACCCACTGCCAAGTTCGTTAGCAAAAGAGTCCTGCCAGGAACAAAAACATAGGCCCAAAACATAATTGGTAGAAAATATATATAGTAATGTAATTTCATTCAGAATATAATTACAAATGTATAATTACTTTGTATTGAATGTTACATTCAAATTAAAAAGTGTACTGTGGCTGAAATGCAACTTCATTCCCTTTAAGTATCTGATTTACATTAAGATTCTGTTGTCTTTCAAAGAACAGGAACTGATTAAGTGATTAGAATGTAGAATAGAACAAGTTTTCAACTACAATAAAATATGGGTTTAATTTCCATATAAGCTAATTATATAACAGATCTCATAAAGTGTTCCTTTTTTCTCGGAAAACTCAGAGGTAAACCACCTATACTTTAATTCTTAATGCTGTCATCTTGCCAAAAAAATATGTAGCTGTAGAAAGACAAAAGATGACTTATGTTCTTAGAATAATTATATGCAATAGTTTTAACTTTAGTAAACAACATCCAAAACCTTATATATAACCAGGCATAAAGAATTTTGCAGTGGCTCATGGGACTGATGGGAAAGAGGTTATATGTTTTGTGTGTGTGTTCCTCTTAAAGATTTTAGTCACACTTTTAAATTCTGATCCTTTTTCTCCTTGAGGAAATAGTATACCACGTAGTAATTTGTAATCATTTGATTCTTAAATGAGATTTGACAAGTCTTTCTTATTTATAATATGAGGTGGCAACTAAGCTAATTCCTTTACAAAGAGTAGACATGAAAAACTTTCCTTAAGAGGTAATCACAGATTTTAGATAGATTTTCTAATGCCCAGTGTCCCATAAAAAAGACTTGGAGGTACTTTGTCTTTCTGGTATCACTTTCAAAGCCAGTCTTTTTAATAATCATAATAAACAGGTGAGTCAACCCACAATGCAACCACATCAGACAAATCTATGGAGAATAGGGGAGAATAAAGGAAAAGCCTTTAAAGAAATATGTTTGATCTCAGGCTAAACTTTTTTTTTTTCCAGAAATGATTCCATGTTTACGTATTAGGTAAGGTGTTCCTGCTGTACTACTGTGCAGGAAAACTCCATTATAAATACAGAGATACCTCATGGCCAAATTAGTATAAAATTGGCAGGAAAAAAAAAAAGTTATTCCCTTTAACATCTCAAATAGCCATCCTTGAGTTTTCAAAACTGTCACTCTGATAGCAAAGATAAGAGTTTAAAAAAATAAAATATAATTTAATAATTAGTGACTGAAGCACTAGCAAAAGAAGCCAAACATACAGAAACGCATAATCTTATATAGGTTGAACATAAACTTTCTTCTTACCTACACTCCCTTAAAGTAAATTATGATGTCTAAGCTATCGAAGGCCACTAGTATGCACTATAATATATCATAAGGAGGCCATTCACTCCTAGACTAATCTGGGTTATCTTCCTTTTGTTTAACAGTGAGTATTTTGTTCCTATACATAGCCTCCCACTATAGAGTGACTTACACTGGCGCAAATTCAATCTGTCATTTTCTTTGCAGCTACTAAATCATTAACACAAATTTAGCAAAAACAAAATGTGCTAGCCAGATGACAATTCTGATATTCAACTTCCATTCCTAAAAAAATGCCATTAAATGCCATTAATGAATGTTATCGAGTCTACAAATATTTACTAATCTCTCCCCATAGGGTTAGTCTTATAAACAGACACAAAGCAGAAGAGGCCTTTTTTTTTTTTTTTTTCCTGTCACTAGGGAGATTACAGTGTAATTACAAGGTTTTTTGTCTGTTTGTTTGTTTGTTTTTTGAGACGGAGTCTTGGTCTGTCACCAAGGCTGGAGTGCAGTGGCGTGATCTTGGCTCACTACAATCTGTGCCTCCTGGGTTCAAGCAATTCTCTGCCTCAGCCTCCCGAGTAGCTGCGATTACAGGCGCCTGCCACCACGCCCGGTTAATTTTTTTTTTTTTTTTTTGTATTTTTAGTAGAGACGGAGTTTCACCATCTTGACCGGGCTGGTCTTGAACTCCTGACCTCGCGATCCACCCGCCTCGGCCTCCCAAAGTGCTGGGATTACAAGTGTGAGCCACTACGCCCGGCCACAAGTTTCTTAAAAGTAGAATTTCCAAGGCTACACTGTGTTTGGCAGGGTGAAATTCTGACTACTACCTAAGCTTAACTTCTACCTGCTATCTACCTATAAGTATTATCACATTTGTGTTTATTTCTAAATCTTTCTGGTAGTTGAAATATTTTTCTGCAATGAGGGCAGTGAAGTCATCCTTAAAAGCAAGAGAACTGAGCCACCTGGTGTCGGTAAAGTTCTTTAGAACCGAAATCTCAGGGCCAGGCACAGTGGCTCACTCCTGTATTCCCAGTCCTTTGGGAGGCCAAGGCGGGAAGATTGCTGCAGGCCAGGAGTTAGAAAAATCTCAAGCCTCCCCAATTTAAAAACCACTTTCTAAAAGTGACCCCAGGTTGGCCACTAGGTCATGACACTCTTGACTGATAGTCAATGGGAATTTGGAAGAGATCAGTGGAAGCTGCAAACATGTGGGTTTTAAAAAGTTAATTTTCTAAGCCTTTAAGTGCTACCAAATGACCACCACATGCTTATTTCTACATCTAGGGTTACAAATGCCCCCCCTCAAACTGAGATTTACACTTCTCCAAAGTTTTAATGAGTCCTACAAGTCAAAAAGGGAATAATTATAAGAACAAGGGTGTGAGGACACGATAAGAGAGGGCCATTCAGAGATGGGGTGAATTCTCAAAGAACTCCATAGCGCTACAGATTGTGGCTGACAAATTAAAGGTATCTTTTTTAAAAATACAACGAATTTTTCAAATAATGTCAAAAGTCTGATGATCAAAATCCTTTGAGATTGCTAGCAGGTTAATTAATAGAACGGAAACTTCAGCTATGGGGAAAGATCCTGAGCTATTAGAACGGGAGAGCACCCCATCTTTGCATAGAAAAGGAAACTAAGCCTCAGACTGATGAGGGGACTTGCTAGTTACACAGCTAGTTAGGAAGTCATTAACAGGAGAGACCCACCCGATCCAGTATCTCTTAACAGATACTGCCTTAACAATCATTCTCTTGTTTCTTTTAACCCCTTCTCTTCCCAGGTACTGCTGGAGGTATTCCGAAACCCGTCCCTCTGTGTTCCCACCCATATCTTCTTTCGCTTTCCCATTTCCTCTTTCCTAAGGTCAATACCAAGATCCTTGCTTTCAGGTTGCAGAATTTCTAAAGAGGAGCTTGGCTGAAGAACTAGGCATGCTCAGTAGCCGGGTGGTCTTCCCCCTCCCCGCCCCTCCCCCCTTTCCTTTTCTTTTCTCGCCCAGATAGAACTTAGGAGCTCAGGGAACCTCAGACAGGTGAGCCCTACAGTAGCGAAGGTGCCCACGGAAAGTTAATCTGCTAACTCTTCAGGTGAACATTTGCAGGTCTCTAGGTAGACACGTAAATGCTCGCAATCCATGCCAAGAGCAGCCCCGGGTGCATAATCAGCTGCATAACTGTGGGGCATGTTTAAAGAAGCCCAGTGCTTCCTGTTGTTAATTTTTGTAAAGTGGACGGCATGAGGGAAAATGAGAAACGAAATCGGAGAAAAACATACGGGTTTTTTTTTTTAACTGCCTGCGAGGTAAGCAGTGCAAGAACTGTGATGCCCAGTGCACCAGGTCTTGGTGTCCCCGGCAGTGGGAAGGGCAATGGGGAAGGCAGGAAGGAGCTTGCGGAGCGCCCACCCTTTCTCCTCCCTCCCCCAGCGTCTGGAGCTGCTGCCCTGCTAGAGGCAGCGGCGACAAACTGGCAGGAAAATTTCTCCCCGCGCCTACTCTGGCCCGCCCTTCAGCCCCAGTCTGCCTCTCGCACCGGCTGGGTCCAGGGGAGCTCAGGGTTCCGCGCAGCGCTGACGCCCTTGGCAGGCAAAGAGGGAGGTGCACCGGCAGGGGACGAGGAGCGGAGCTGGGGCGCAGGTGGGGGTGGGGTCGGGATGCTAGTACGTACCGAAGAGGCTGTGGTCCTGCCGGGTGCCCTGCACGCTGCCGTCGGGCAGGATCTGCAGGTGGAAGCCGGTGCGGCAATACAGCTGCCGGCGGCGCAGGATGCCGTGCAGGTGCGCCAGCTCCGCAGCCCCCGGCCCTCCGCGGGCGCTCCGCTCCGCCGCGCCCCTGCGCTCGCCCAGCAGGGGCGGCCGCTCCCCGGCAGGAGGCAACAGGAAATGCGAGCCCACCTGCTGGCCCAAGCCCTCCAGGCCGCCCAGAAAGCCCCCGACTTCGGCTAAGGGAGCCATGGAGGGGGAGATCCGGAACACAAAAGACCCCCCCAGTAAAGAGTGTTGCGGGGGTGAGATGGAGGTGGATAGAGAAAAATGATAGCAAAACGAGCGCAAAAAGTTAAGGCCCGATTACTCCTCTGAGGTCGCTCCGGAGGGACTTTGCACTGAAATGGCAGGGAAGCTCTCACTGTCTTGGAGCGATCTTCTCTCCTTGGGTAGGTGGGAGCCGGCTGCTGGCTCTGCAGAAATATCTATAGCTGCCGCTGCCAATACTAGGACTAGGGCTGGGGGCTGGGGCTCCAGCTCCGCAAACTGATCAGATCAGAGTCCTGTGTACATACACACCGAGTATATAAGCGGGTCCTCTTGACATATGCTAATCAAGTCCTTTCATGCGCGCTGGGGAGGTTCTGTTTGAAATCTTAAACCGGTCTCCTCTCAACACGTTTTTGCTCTTCGGAAGTGACCAAAAGGGGCCCTTGGCACTTCTCCATCCATGCCCTCGCAAAAACCATTCCTGCACTTGGCCAAAGCCAGCCAGCAACTTCGAGGAGGTGCAGTCGAGGCCCCTCTTTGGGGTTGTCTTTGGGACAGCGGTGATGCTGTTCAGCTGCAGCCGTGCAACCGCCTTTGATGTGAGCTTTGCAGTGATAGATCGCCGCTAAAAGGAGCCCAACTTGGCAGGTATATAGAAGAAGAGGAAGGGAGGAGGGAGGGAAGGCGGGGGGAGAGAGAGAGAGAGAAAGAAGGAGGGCATTGGTAGGAGGAGGAAAGAGAGGAGAGGAGAATTGGATTCCTTGGGAGCCTGCAGTGGACAGGTGCAAAGAAAGGTAAGGGAGGGAGAAGGAAAAAGGGCGTTACCTGAGGCTTACAGACCTGCCCAGACACACATGAAAGAAAAATCAAAGCTTTGACAGTTTAACTCACTAATTTTAAAACACTAATAAAATGTACAAGCATTACTCCTTTCTTTTATCATTTAGATGGGGGATTTTCTTTACATAATCAAGGTTAGGTAAGGAACACCCTCCCTCCCCCCTTTACAATTTCTCTTTAATGTTTATCTTTACTCAGCACATAATATAACAAAAATTGCCGTATATATACATATACACATATGTATTTTTAATTGTGTGCTGAGGCCATGAACTTCTAATTAGTGTAAAATAATAACATAAAATAATCACGAGTCAAAGGATTTAGAGTAAATCCAAATAGGCTGGAAAGAAACGGTTTACATTTCTATATTTTGCCATGAATAGAAAATGAGTATCTGGAACATTGTCCTAAAGGATGAGTGGCCTCTTGGGCCCTTATACAATCTAAGAGCACTTTCCTGTTTTTCTTAGTTGCGTTTTTGTAAAAGCTAGATTTTTTGTTTACATTTGAATTATAAAATCTAAAAATAACTCAATGGAAATAGTCTTGATGCTTGATGTGTTTTGACACTTCAAAAAGTTACTGGTAAAATTGAAGAGTGCTTGGGCATATTTGTAAAATCAAAAACCACGGAAGTGAAGGAATTAGATATATGTCCATTTAAACATTGAAACTGGTTTTGCACCACTGGTTAAATTCAAGGTCTTTCTGTTAAAATTTTTCAGCGGTAGAAGAGTTGAGAATCATTGGGCAGATTCACATTTCCTCTGAGTGAAAAGTTTTAAGGAATTGATGAAGATTACTTTCTCAGTCTTGTTTCATGGTCTGTTCAGGAAAAGCATCAACCTGGGAGCTCAGTTGGATTTGACTGGTTTATTTTATTTGCTCTGAGGAATTTTTTTCTAATTAATTGGCAGGTGCTTTAAAGTGGGTATAGTTACACATTTTCATCACTACAGGCCTAACTACTGACCGTTGTGTAACCAAGTTATAAAAGAGTTCTTAAAGCAAGTGATTTACTGTTGATAGATATGAAATAAAACAAAAACACTGGCTAAAAACAATAAACAGATAAATCACTTTAGAAACGTATATTGCTAAATCTGTTTTAAAGGTTGTACCAGGTAAAAGTTATATTATTTCACCTTTCAAATAACAGCAGTCTGTCTTGTGGTGGGACCCCAAATCCACCATAATCAAGATTTCAAAGCACATCTGTGTAAACATTATCACGTCAGTGTAAAACATCAACCAATGAGCTTTTACTTTGAACCAAATCTTCTTAATTGCAGTGTTAAATCAAAGAAAGTTAGATCAAAGTTGTGTGAATCTCATAGCAGGATAACTGAAGTAGCCAGTACATCCACTGATCACTTTTAAAGAGGAGATACTTAAGGGTTTTAAACTTAGATCAAGTGCCTTTTAATGAGGTTTGTTTCAAGGTCCAAGTTCTGTGCAACATGTAATGTTGTTAATTATTCCACAATGGAAATATATTATCATCGCCTGCTTCTAAAGCTACTAGTTCAGTCTTTAAACTCTTTTCCCACATGAACACTTTAGTCCTGCTGTGTGAGCTATAGCTCTTAGACTGTTCAAATCTCTTGTATTGCTTATATATATACTAAAATATGGGGAATTTCTTATTCAGAGTCATGAAACTTTAAATACTTTCATAATAGAATTGCCTTCTCTTTGTACACCTTGGTATTTATATGTGTCTTACCTCATTTGATCACCACAATGACCATACAGCATAGGTACATCCTGCTTTACAGAGAAAAAACGTGGTCCTAGATTCTAGTTTAGTCCAGAGTCCAACATCCCAGGCCAATTTCCTTAAATTCTCTAAATGCTTTTATTTTCTCTTTTGTAAAATAAGGATAATGTAACTCCAGCCTAGCTACTATGCCTACAGTTGCTGTGAGATTTAAATGTAAAAACATATAGGAAAATGGTTTTAAAGCTATAATTTTCTATGCATAGAATATACTAGAAAACTTTAGTTGTGAAAATTTTTGCTTTATAACTTAACAAATATAATTGGTCTGAAATACAAAATAAATCTTTTTTTCCCAAACCAAACCTTTAATGTGTAAGTTTTGAATGGTGCTTAATGCCGTTTTATAAAGGACCAGACTAGAAACAAAAAGATAAGGATTTCTTTTGTTTGCACTAGTCATGTGACAGGAAAAGATAACACTAAAGATTTTTTTTTTTTTTTTTTTTGCACATGCCGTGATGATATCATGGGAAGTTAAATAATTTTGAAGAGTGTTTTACAAGAGTGCATTATTCAACTTTTAAGTATACACTGCAATCTAATCAACTTTACCTATGCTTCCTAGAGACCACACTTGCCTTGCTGTTATACAAATACGTGGTACAACTTCTACTTCCACAAAATGTAGTTAGAGTTTTCCAGACTATATAATCCCTATATAGGTTTTCGGATGATATATTCTCATGAACCTTTGTTTTTACACATGAGGAGTTCATACCTTTTGATGCTGCTACATGTGTTCAATTTGAGAAAAAGAAATAGAGCTGATTTAATAGTCATGATTTACACCCCCAATAAAATAAGAGTATATTTACACATTATTCATTATTTATAATTACAAAATATTAGCAACCACATAAATTTCCATACATAGGAAACTGAATAAATTATGGTACATTCACACAGTGGAGCACTATACAGCTGAGAAAGAGCTCTATGAATGATCATGGTATATTCTCAGGATATACCGTTAAGTGAAAATAGCAAAGAATATATATTGTGTCTGCCTTTTCTGTAAGAAAGAAAAAAACGAGAAAAGTCTACATGTGTTTGATTATTTATTCTAAAAAATAAACACAGAACGGATAAACCAAAAACTAATGAACTTGGTTACCTGGTTACTTGGTTACCAGGGGATGGATATGAATGGAGTGGAAGGGATGGATGGGTGACACTGATCTGAGAACTTTTTATAGAGTTTTGACTTTTGGAGAAACGTTAATGTTTTACTTTTTTTAAAAAGTAAAATAAAATAAAAAATGAGAGAGAAGTGGGGATGGAATAAAAGCAGGAACAAATGAACCTAACTATTAAAGTGAGTAATATAACCACAAAGAAGGGATGAATAACATATTTTTTAAAAAAAAGAAAGAAAGAAATTCAAGTAACTATCAAATTCTGTCTTTTGATGATATAATCAAGGTCTAAAGAAAAACTACATAAACAAATCTCGAACTTCAATGAGAAAGATTGTTTTCCTCAGCAGCAGGGGTTAGAGTAGTGTATTGTAGGATTGAACAAATGAATAAATACATTGAAGATAATGAGAACTAGGGGTTTCATTATTAAACAATAGAGTTCTAATATGAAAAGAAGGAAGATTGGAATGAACCTTGTAGTGTGAAATTGGAATCGCTACTATCAGTATTAATACTTGGTGCCTGTGTGTGTGTATGTGCATGTGTATGTACATACCTTAGCCCTGTCCACTAAAAGGGCCTCGAAGCAAACATATCCCAAGTCAATGAGCATATGTGACATGTAAGCCTTGGTTTCTCAATTCAATCTCCTACTAAAATGATCAATGGAACCTTGGAGAAATGTCTGGTTCCAGGACTGGGGCATTATTTTATGTGCCAGAAGGCAAGGAAGTGCTGAAAAAAAGAAAAGAATAAGGACATGTCCAGGGGACATAAGCCAAATCTGGGACAATTTGAGCATCAAAATAAATAATGATAGGAACAAGTTATTTATGAAATAAATAAGAACATTTGAGTGCCACTGTTTAAGTACACAAACTACCAATTAAACAATAAGGGAGAAGGGAAAACCTTTTCTCATGGCAGAATATCAACTAATATATAGTGAAAGAATGATGGAATTAGAAAAATGACCACTTTGCATCCATCCTAGGGTCACTGCTGGTCCAGACGAAAACATCAATGCATGCTAAAACTTGTGGATAAAAGTTTGATAAAGAAGAATATTACAAAGAGAAAAGAACAACTTTATAGTGAATTAATCTAGTGAGTACAGTACTATCTTAACCATGTGATAAAAGTGAGTAACAGTAACGGGACAAGCCAACCCCATATGCCTCTTCATACCCTAAGAAGAGTACAATGTCACTTACATATTGTTACTATCAAAAACGCATAATCTGAATCCAATCATGAGGAAACATCAGATAAACCCCAATTGAGAGACATTCTTCAACTGGTTTTGCTCTTCCAAAATGTCAAAAGTCTCTTTAGGAGACTACTGGCCAGGCACAGTGGCTCATGCCCGTAATCCCAGGACTTTGGGAAGCTGAGGTGGGCAGATCACTTGAGGCCAGGAGTTCGAGAGCAGCCTGGCCAACATGGTGAAACCCCATCTCTACTAAAAACACAAAAATTAGCCAGACATGATGGTGCACACCTGTAATCTCAGCTACTCAAGAAG